GGGTGAAAGACCCGAGCTAACATGGGGTTAGCTCGCTAAATTACAATAAAGCCTCATGCAGTTTGCAGCAAGCTCTCGAATCTGCCTGGTGATTGGGGTGACTGTGGTCGTGGCCTGGGACCCTGGATACCTGAGTTTTCCTGGGGCCTAACATAAGGATCTTCTGATACTGACTGAGGCAGCAGCTGGTGTTGGGGCACACCCTCTGGTAGCTGGGACTGGAGGCTTTCTTTCTTAGCCAAGGCATCATCAATGGACTCCAGGAAGCTCCTCTCCACCACATCGAAGGCCTGCAGCAGGACCTGCTGCACATTAGCCTCGGCATGTTCAGTGTTGAGCTGGCCCAGCAGGAGCTCTGCAGAGAGTCTCTGGGCCACAAAGTTGGTCACCTGGTTGCCGTCATAGCTATTGAAGACCCCATACAGAAAGCAGTTGTTTTTACTTCTGAACTTGAGCCAGTTGTCCTCATGAGGGTGGCTCTCAGTGCCCTTACCATTAGTAGAATAGCTATGGATGGAAGCTGAACCAACTCCAGAGAGATGACAGAGAAGCAGGCCATCCATCCAGCTTAGCTGCTGCTCACTCTGGAGCAGGCTCCATCTCTGTGCCGCCATCTTGGAGGACCCCACAGCGTGCCAGTCTCCTCTTATGCATTCTTGGTGACAGTCATTTTCTTCCTTGGAGAGACTCATTATTTTTACACAAATGCATGTCTGCCTTCTGTCCAGGGGGATATAAATCTATTTCCAGTGCAGTGGAATTGGGGACTTCTCATTTCATTTTTTTTGGATATTTTGAAGAAATCCATGTATAACGAAACCAGAGAAAAAAATGTCAGAGTCTTCCACAAACTTCTCTACCTTTTATTCTTACTTGATTTATTTTATTGTGAAGGACTTTAAAATTAACAAAGAAATAAAATAAGGAGACTTAGAAAAACCTCCCACACTAAAAGCAGGGCGGCCTGACTTAGAAATCTAACCAAGGTCAGAATGACCCGAGTCCTTGGAATTTCCTAGCCTGGAGCAATAACTCCCTTACAAGGCCACAAGATAACCTAACTAAATACCAAGAATTTCCAGAGGGCCACCCTGCCCTGGGGTCATGAAGATAAGAACAGACTATCCCACTGAGTCAGGAGACCATCCAGCCCCAAAGATAAGAGACCTCCAAAGGACCTGTGACTCTGATCACATACCCAAACCCTTAAAAGCTTAGGATTTTCTCCTATAAAAGAGGCCTGCTTTTGAGGAACAGGGCTTCCTTTGTCTGTCAGACTGGGAGGCCCGTTTGCGCAAATGTCCCGCAGTAACTAACCTCTTGTTTTTACATCAGCTAGACTGGACATTGAGTTTTTGGGGGGGACCATCTGATTTGTGGAGACTCCTTGATCTGAGGGTCTTTCAATTAGACTTTTGTTTGGTTGAATCAGTTAGCTTGTTTTGTTTTCTTTTTTGTTTTTTTGTTTTCAGAAAGAGTTTAACTCAAACATACATTGATGCTATACTCCAAGCAACCAAAACTGGTCTCAAAGCAACAGTAATCCTATCTCTCACACAAACAAATACACACAACATTTCTACTCTTCACCTGGCAGAAAATTCTCCTTTTTCTCCATAGAAGAAAATATTTTCTTTTTCTTCTAAATCCTGCAGGCAAAAGTTTCTAAGTAAATAAGAAAATATTTCATTTTGTGATCTAAAGCCACAACTGACTTTTTGAGAAAGGCAAAGGATATATGAGAGAGGTTCATTGAACATAGATGAAAACAATAACTTGTCAATTTACTATTCTCTATTTGAAGATTTGGTTTCATTTGGAAGAGGCATGAAGGTCTTCCATCATCTAATTATTGGTTACATATGAGATCAGGAATGTTCATGATGGTATAATAGTGAAGACTTATTTTCTAGTTCCACAGAAACCTTCAAAGAATGGGAAATGGGAGTCATTCTACTACATCTTTGTTTGTGTTGGTGGGATTAACAGAGCAGGCAGCCTCCTACTGCCCCTTTTGTTCCTTTTCCTGATATATATCTATATGGTGGCAGTAGTGGGGAACCTGGGCATGACCCTGCTCATCAGAGTCAGCCCTCTGCTACACACTCCCATGTATTATTTCCTCAGCAGCTTATCCTTCGTTAATCTCTATTCCACCGTCATTACACCCAAAATGCTGGTGAACTTTCTTGGGAAGATAAATTTGATCTTCTATTCTGAGTGCATGGCTCAGCTCTTTTTCTTTGTGATCTTTGTGGTAGCTGAGGGTTACCTCCTGACATGGCATATGATCGCTATGGGGCCATCTGAAGACCATTGATGTATAATGTGATCATGTCATCTAGGCTCTGTTCACTGTTGGTTCTGGTTTCCTTCATCCTAGGCCTTTGGTCTGACATTGCACACAAGAGTGCTATGATGAAATTGAGCTTTTGTAAATCCCACATCATAAGCCATTACTTCTGTGATTTTTCCCACTCTTCAACATCTCCTGCTCCTACACACATCTCAGTGAGCTTCTCCTATATATTATTTCAGGATTCCACAGCTTGGTTTCCACCCTATCTGTTTCCATCTCCTATGCCTTCTGCACCATCCTTAGTATCAGGTCAACAGAGGGCTTGTCCAAAGCCTTTGGCACCTGCAGCTCTCATCTCATGGCTGTGGGGATCTTCTTTGGGTCTCTCACCTTTATGCATTTCAAACCTCCTTCAAGTAATACTCTAGAGGAAGAGAAGCTTTCTCTTGTGTTTTATACCACAGTGATCCCCATGCTGAACCCATTAATATATAGTTTGAGGAACAAAGATGTGAAGAAAGCCTTGGGAAAATTCTTGGTGAACAGATAGGTCTTACTGTTGGCTAGTGAGAGATGTGAGAAAAGAATTGTTTTACTGAAAATATGTTCTTTCTATTCATTTTTTACTTCTCCCTTGTAATATAGCCTTATCAATGTGTGGTTCTGTGGTTGATATCAGAGCAACCTGTGTTAGACCCCTGGAAAAACTCAGGTATCCAGGGTCACAGCCCATGACTGTGGTCACCCCAATCACCAGGCAGATTCGAGAGATTGATGCAAACTGCATGAGGCTTTATTGTTTTTTAACGAGCTAACCCCATGTTAGCTCGGGTCTTTCACCCACCCGCCATGGCAGATGGCTAGCAAAGGCAACTCCAACCGGCTGCCGAGCGATCTTGTAGGGCAGCGTAAGGGGAGTGTCTAGGGGTACGCACAGGCTCAGGATTGGTGTGCCTCCAGGCTTGGAGGGATTGTCCTGTGTTGATTGGCCAACTGGTTGTTATGGCCCATAGGCCCTCCCAGGGTGGTTGCTATGCTTTGTGCGTCATTCCTGTGCACTTGTCAGTAAAGCACACCCAGAGCCATAAAGCATAGCACCACCAGCTAACTTCTGATTGGCTCCTTGCCATGAGGCAGGCACCTAACCTCTAGAGACCAAGGCAAGATCATAGCGAGCATGTGTTACTGTCATGGCTGCCGAAATGGGGGGCTGGTCTCTTCACCTGTAGGTAAGTAGGCAAGCACTATATCACCTGGCTACAACCAGCACCTATAAATTTTAAGCTATTTTACCATGTATTGTTGATTAAATTTTTCCAATAAAATAGAAAATTACTTAATAAAGCATTTGTTAGTGCATTGACAGGAAAACTGATCTTTTGTCATACAAATGAAGTGATAATTCTCTAACATCATTCTTCTCCTCCTATCTTCAAATACTCCTTATTGAATCCTTTCTGTGTTTGTAGTTCTGAAGTAAGGGGTGTGGTTCCATGACACCTTAAAGTTATCCATGAATAACTGTGAGTGGGTCTCTCATGTGTAAGTTCAGTAAGGTAGTTGCAGCTTCTTTTAATTCATGAATACAATTCTTGTGTTATAGAGGATATACTTTCCTGTCTTTCTTCCTATCTTTTACCTCTAAAATTCCTCATGTTCCCTCATCAGAAATGTTTCTTGAGCCTTAAAGGTTATAGTAAAACAAATGACTTGCTTAGTCTTCAAATCATATTAATCACTTATCCCCAGCATCCCAGGAAGTCAAGAGTCTATTTACCACTGTTTAGCATAAATGGAAACTTTTCTTTTAGTGTTAATAGGAGCTTTTGCCTAAGGGTATAAAAATAAGTATTTAGAAAGTAGTTTAGATTTATGTCTATTCAGATTAAAAAATGGCCATAATTTCCCTCACAGATTTTATCTATTGGCTACTGATGGCATCTGTGAGTTGGGGAGCAGCTATCCAGTTGTGTTACTACTACTACTGGAGTCTAGTAGACTCCAGTTATAAACCCAAGATCAAATATATTCCTGGCCATAAGCAATGGACAAAATAAGTATACACAAATGTCAAAAAGAGGTTAGCATTGGAAAAGGGAGTAGACACGAGAGGAAGGGGGATGAGAGAGGCTAAAGTAAAGAATAATCAAAATGCAAAAAAAAATGATACAGCTGTAGAGAACTGGCAAAGTACAGATAATATTTTTAAAAAGAAAACCTGCAGTATGTGAGGTACCAGGCTGCTCACTAATGTGGAATGTTTAGAAACATGGAACAGCTTCCTAGGTCTATCCATTAATCCTTGAGAGAACAAAATAAGTGCATAAGAAAATCAAGAGAAGCATAGGACAAAATATTTGACAAAACGAATGGTAATCTCATATTGCAGGTTCTGATCATTGTGTTTTAACACTTTTTTCTTTTTAATATTATTTTTTAATTTAAATTAAAAGCAACCTTATTTTACATACCAATCCCAGTTGCTTCTCCCTCCCATCCTCCCACTCCCACTATCTTTTCCCTATATCAGGTCCCATCTACTCCTCAGGGAGGGTGACATCTCCCATGGGGATTCATCAAAGTCTGTCACATCATTTGAGGCAGGACCAAGGCCCTCCCTTCTGTATCTAGGCTGAGAGAGTAACCCTTCATAAGGAATGGGCTCCAAAAAGCCAGTTCATGCACTAGGGATAAATACTGGTTCCACTGCCAGTGGCCCCATAGACTGCCAAAATCCCTGAATGACACCCACTTTCAGGGGGCCTAGTTCGGTGTTATGCAGGTTCCCTTGCTGTCAGTTTGGAGTTCATGAACTCCCACATGCTCTGGTCAGCATTTTCTGTGGGTTTCCCCAGCATGGTCCTGACCCTTTGCTCATCACTTCTCCCTCTCTACAACTGGATTCTGGGAGTTCAGCTCAGTGCTTACCTGTGAATCTCTGCTTCTGTTTCCGTCAGATACTGGATGAAGGTTGGGGTCATCTTTGTGGATTCTTGGGAATTTCCATAGTGCCAGGTTTCTGGTTAAGCCCATAAAGGCTCCCTCTATCAAGGTATCTCTTTCCTTGCTTTCCTTCTCTGTCCTTTTCCCACTTAGACCTTACTGATCCCTCATGTTCTCCTCCCACCCTCTCCTACCCCCACCCATGCTCCCAATTTACTCAGGAGATCTCATAACACTTCTTTTCTATTCAGAGTATTTAAGACCAATTGATTTCCATTTGCCTCCTGACTCTATAAATTAATAGGTCCTTATATCAAGCAAGGTAATGGAAGCATGTCTCTATTACATCATTATTTGTTATTAAATATAAAC